TGGCATCTCTAGTTTAAAGCCCTCTTCAGTTAGAGCATCCCATTCCTTCCACCTTTTCCACTCCCAAATAAACCAGATTGCAAATAAACAAAATGTAAAGCTCAGTATATACAAGGTTTTAAAATGTGGAAAATGAAACTTGAAAAACATCATTAGTAACTCAGAAAACATATTCTCAGATAAATAATTGATAACACAGCTGTTAAACTACTTGCTGATTTCTTAGTGTATTTCTAAGAAAGTAGAGCTTACCATTCTTTTACAGTCACCTCCGTAATCCCTTCTCCAATGTCAGAAAGCTTAAACTGGACAATTTGGCCACACGAAACTTAAAACAGACAATAAGGAAATACAACATGTTTAATATTAAGTACAAGATATCAGACAGAAAAATCTGAATGCATCAGAAATAGTCTACATACCAGTCATATACAAACTGCTAACATAACACTCATAAAATAGCAAAATAAAATAAATTATTTTATTATGAAAAAGATTACCAGCAGATGTTCTGAATAATCGCTGTTGATGACTAAACTTGAGGGCAGATTTGTCAAACACGCACACATATTTTGATTTTATAAAGCGAATGCTGCTGCACGATCTAACACGGTGAATGCAAACCTGGGGGAGAAAAGTCTTAAGTGTTAATATAATGGATGGAGGAATGTAGAGTTCATTTAATATTCCGGATGCAACAGTAATACTAAAATAGTTTAATTCTAGTTTTTATGAGAGAAGTTCTTATGGAAACACAATTATTATGAATACATACTGAATGTACAATAACCACTAAATTAGCATAAGCTTTGCCAGGTCTTTAACTTCTTTCACTAACACAACACATGGGGAGATCAAAGCCACAATAACATAACCAATTAACAAAAATCATTACAAGATCTGGTAAGAGATTCATACTTGCTATTGTTTCCCTAAGCAATTAGTTTAAATCAGGACACACACACAAAAAACATACATAGTATCAATGACATCAGCCATCTGAAATATTCTCATCCAGAATGGATGCTGGAAGGGTCCCCTAGACTGCAGGAAAAATCAGCATATTTTTCTTTGTCAGTTCTTATTCCAATCAAAGGTTGATCAGAAGTATTAATTGGAAAGGAAATTCACACCAGAGGGCACAGAGAGTTGCCCTTTTATTTCTGTTAATATATAGGAGGCAATCATCTTCAAGTAAATATGATTTCACATCAACTTTAATGACATTTTTAAAGAACTGGGAGAGAGATGGTTTTCTTTCATGGTTACAATTATATTTATCCAGAAATCAACTTAAAGGGTCAACGGAATTTTCTGAAAGGTTCTTCAGACAAAACCTTATGCTTTAAAGCATCATGTAATCAGTCATGATTTTGGTCAAAAGCAAAGCCAGTAGCACTTGCATTGACATAAACAGGCATTTTATCATTAATCTCAACAGAAGTTAGTTCAGACCCTTTCTTATTTACTATTACATTAGATTTAAGAAATCTAATGTAATTCTGGTGTTATGTTGTCTTAGAGTGCTGTAAAATTAATAAAAATAACAATTTATCTGTAGATAATGTAATCTCTAATTAATTTAGAGATATGAAAAAAAATTCAGGTGCTACAATGTACCTCAAGTAGCTCAAAACTGTAAAATTTAGAAATTATCTTCTTAGAGGAGCCAGAAAACAGCACACCTGCATGGGAAAGTTCATTTTAATGTTTTTTTTTTTTAAATCCTTTCAGTAATTACAGAGTATATGAAACTTCCGGAT